TCCCTGCAGTCACGAAAACTTCAAATCTAGAATAATCTTTTTAATGCACGGGCATATTATGACTTTGAAACCCCCTGCCCACCTCCTACGCATTCCACAAGTAGTGACTAATCCCATATCTGCATTTCCCATAAATATGCTAAATTCCTCTTGATATGAAAATTATTTTGTCAAGGCGCTCTTCCCCCTCCAACCCAGCTTAAATATACGCTCCAAGCCTGGTGGTGTTTCATTCAGACTCTGTCTTTCCGGCAGACCTGTTCTTCACCTGAGGACGGCTGCTTGCGTTGTGGCCCAAACGTCGTGAGAATTCTTATATTATGTTTTATTTTTATTATTTCCCTTCTACGTGACTTTACCGAAAGAACCAAGAAGATCTAGAATAATCATCAGTAGTAGTATTATCATCATGTTTGTATAATCACCGTGCAGCAACTATAAAAACTTCACCTCCCGTTCCTTATTCACGCAAACTCAGACCTCACCGCGGGCGTGGTGACAGACGCTCCCACTCGCACCCCCCCAGCTCCTCGGGCGAGAGCCGCGGCTCCGAGCCGCCGCGCTTGCCTCGAGCCGGCTCCGAGCCGCGCTCAAGGGGATGCCGGGGGGGAGGATCGAGCCAAGGGGGTCGAGCCGAGGGGGTCGATCCGGCTATTTCAACCCTCGCCCGGTCAGAGGTGCGGGGGCCGCGTGCTCAGCCGCGGATGGCGGATCTTTGGGTCACTGCGCCCCGAGTGTGAGGGTCTGTGTGAGTCTGTGTGAGTCTGTGTGTGTGAGTCTGTGTGTGAGTGTGTGAGTGTGAGAGTCTGTGTGAGTCTGTGTGTGAGTCTCTGTGTGTGAGTGTGTGAGTCTGTGTGTGAGTGTGTGAGTCTGTGTGAGTGTGTGGGTCTCTGTGTGTGAGTGTGTGAGTCTCTGTGTGTGAGTCTGTGTGAGTATGTGAGTCTGTGTGAGTCTCTGTGTGTCAGTGTGTGGGTCTGTGTGAGTCTGTGTGAATCTCTGTGTGTGTGTGAGAGTCTGTGTGAGTGTGTGTGTCTGTGTGAGTCTGTGTGTGAGTGTGTGAGTCTCTGTGTGTGTGCCTGTATATGAGTGTGTGTGAGTGTGTGTGTCATTGTGTGTGTGTGTGTCTGTGTGAGCCTCTGTGTGTGTGTGTGAGTCTGTGTGAGTGTGTGTCATTGTGTGTGTGAGTTTGTATGTGTGTGAGTCTGTATATGTGTGATAATGTGCGTGTGTGAGTGTGTGAGTCTGTATGAGTGTGTGTGTCTGTGTGAGTCTCTGTGTGTGAGTGTGTGAGTCTCTGTGTGTGTGAGTCTGTGTGGGTCTGTGTGTGTGTGTGAGTCTGTGTGAGTGTTTGTCTAGTGGGGAGCGGTAGTGTAGCGGTTAGCGCGCTGCGCTATGAACCTGGCGACCCGGGTTCGATTCCCGCTCACGGCTAACACCAGTGACGATTATCTGAACCGGTCCTGGGCCTCCCCTAGGTCGACTCAGCCTTAAATGAGTACCTGGTGCGGTGTGTAAACATCGCCACTAGGGAGACAAAGGCGGTCGGGCGTGGTGCTGGCCACCCACCCCCTCGTGTACCGTTCCGGCCTTCATAGGTGCTCGCTAACAGCACTTGCCCCTACAGTCTGTTCAGGCTATACGGGGGATCTTTGTCTTTATCTTTGTGTTTGTCTGTGTGAGTCTCTGTGTGTGAGTGTGTGAGTCTGTGTGAGTGTGTGTGCCTGTGTATGTCTCTGTGTGTGAGAGTCTGTGTGAGTGGGTGTGAGTGTGTGTAAGTGTCAGTTTGTATGTGAGTGTGTGTGAGTCTGTATGTGTCATTGTGTGTGTGTGTGGGGAGCGGTATTGCAGCGGTTAGCGCACAGCGCTACGAACCTGGCGACTCGGGTTCGATTTCCGCTCACGGCCAACCAGTGACGATTATCTGAACCGGTCCTGGGCCTCCCCTAGGTCGACTCAGCCTCAAATGAGTACCTGGTGCGGTGTGTGTGTGTGTCTGTGTGAGCCTCTGTGTGTGTGTGTGAGTCTGTGTGAGTGTGTGTGTCATTGTGTGTGTGAGTTTGTATGTGTGTGAGTCTATATGTGTGATAATGTGCGTGTGTGAGTCTGTATGAGTGTTTGTGTCTGTGTGAGTCTCTGTGTGTGTGTGAGTCTGTGTGAGTGTGTTAGGCTGGCCTGCCTACGATCCATCCTGGGTTTAACCAGGCTGGATTGTGTGAGGAGCTCACAAATCCTTGCAAGATTTGGGCAAAGTCCCATCGGTGAGCTCCTCCGGCAGGCACGGCTGCGTTGGCTGGGTCATGTAGCCTACATGCCCAGCCACCGCATGCCTAAACAGCTTTTGTTCGGCCGGATCGAGGGGGCTAAGCGGGCGCGGCACGGGCTAGAGAAGAGATGGAGTGATGTGGTACAGGAGGACGTGGAGCTGAGTGGACTTGCTGATGACTGGTACCAGCGGTGTCAAGATCGGCCTCAGTGGAGGAGGCTCGTGAAGGACGCTACTGGGCAGTTGGAGGCAGTCGCCCTACAACAACAACGGAGGGCGGAGGAGCGACGCTCACAACAACGAGCGGAGCGCCGGGTGACTAAAGCACAGCAAGTTGGTACAGTAGGGGGCAAAGGTGGTGCATCAGCCAGTCATCTCGGTCATCTCGGTCAGTCGACCAGTGGCACCTGCTGGGTCTGCCCCGTGACCTCCTGCCAGCGGGCGTTCGACACTTCACGTGGCCTCAAGGTGCACTTGGCCTGGCACAAGCGTCGTGGTGACGTCACCGCCACTTAGTGGCGAATGGCGGTTGTTGTTGTTGTGTGTGTGTCTGTGTGAGTCTCTGTGTGTGAGTGTGTGAGTCTCTGTGTGTGTGAGTCTGTGTGGGTCTGTGTGTGTGTGTGTGAGTCTGTGTGAGTGTGTGTGTCTGTGTGAGTCTCTGTGTGTGAGTGTGTGAGTCTGTGTGAGTGTGTGTGTCTGTGTAGGTCTCTGTGTGTGAGAGTCTGTGTGAGTGGGTGTGAGTGTGTGTAAGTGTCAGTTTGTATGTGAGTGTGTGTGAGTCTGTACGTGTCATTGTGTGTGTCTGATTGTGTGTAGGGAGCGGTAGTGTAGCGGTTAGCGCACAGCGCTACGAACCACGGCCAACCAGTGACGATTATCTGAACCGGTCCTGGGCCTCCCCTAGGTCGACTCAGCCTCAAATGAGTACCCGGCGCGGTGTGTAAACACCGTCATTGGGGAGACAAAGGCGGCCGGGCGTGGTGCTGGCCACCCACCCCCTCGAGTGCCGTGCTGGCCTTCACAGGTGCTCGCTATCAGCACTTGCCCCAACAGTCTGGCAAGGCTATACGGGGGATCTTTGTCTTGCACGCGTGTGTGTATGTATGTACGTATGAACACCGTCACGAGGGATACAAAGGCGGTGTGTGTGAGTCTGTGTGTGAACCTGTGTGTGAACCTGTGTCTGCATATGAATCTGTCTCTGTGTGTGTGAGTCTGTGTGAGTCTGAGTCCGTGTGTGAGTCTGCGTGTGAATCTGTCTCTGCGTGAGTCTGTGTGTGAGTCTGTGAGAAGCGACTCTCACAACAACGAGCAGAGCGCCGGGCGGAATAAACGCAGCAGGTTAGCAGAGTAGGGAGCACAGGTGGTGCATCTGCCAATAATCTCAGTCCACCCATAGCATCTGTGACGCTTCACGTGGCCTCAGGGTGCGCCTAGCCTGGCACAAGCGCCGTGGTAACGTCACCGCCGCTTCGTGACGAATGGCTGCTGTTGTTGTGAATCTCTGTGTGTGTGTGTACATCCGTATGTGTGGGGAGCGGTGGCGCAGCGATTAGCGCACTGTGCTACGAACCGGACAACTCAAGTTCGATACCCGCTCACGGGCCAGCAATCGGTGACGAATATCGAAACCGGTGCCGGACCTCCCCTAGGTCGACTCAGCCTCAAAAGCGAGTCCCTGGGATGAGGTGCTTAAACGATTATCAATGGGGAGACAAAGGCGGCCGAGCGCGTCGCTTGCCCCAACCGCCTGCGCGAGGCGACACGCCGCGCTGTTAGCTTGGTCTGTGCGCGCTCTGTTGAGTGGCCCTCGCGTGTGTGTGCGCGTGTGTGTGTGTGTCCGCGTGTGTGTGCGCGTGTGTGTGTGTGTCCGCGTGTGTGCGCGCCTATGTGTGTGTGTGCGCGTGTGTGTGTGTGCGTGTGTGTGTGTCCGCGTGTGTGTCCGCGTGTGTGTGTGCGCGTGTGTGCGCGTGCGTGCGTGCGCGTATGTGTCCGCGCGCGCGTGTGTGCGCGCGCGTGTGTATGTATGTGTGCGCGTGTGTGTGTGTGTGTATGTATGTGCGCGCGTGTGTGTGTGTATGTATGTGCGCGCGTGTGTGTATGTGGGCGCGTGTGTGTGTGTATGTGCGCGCGTGTGTGTGTGTATGTGCGCGTGTGTGTGCGCGCGTGTGTATGTGTGCGTGTGTGTGCGCGTGTGTGTGTGTGTGCGTGCGTGTGTGTGTGTGCGCGCGCGTGTGTGTGTGTGTATGTGCGCGCGTGTGTGTGTATATGTGTGTGCGTGTGTGCGTGTGCGCGTGTGTGTATGTGTGCATGTGTGTGTGCGCGTGTGCGCGCGTGTGTGTGTATGTGCGCGCGTGTGTGTGTATGTGTGTGTGCGTGTGTGCGTGTGCGCGTGTGTGTGTGTGTATGTGCGCGCGTGTGTGTGCGCGCGTGTGTGTGTGTGCGCGTGTGTGTGCGCGTGTGTATGTGCGCGCGTGTGTGTGCGCGCGTGTGTGTGTGTGTGCGCGTGTGTGTGCGCGTGTGTGTGTGCGCGCGTGTATGTGTGTGTGTGTGGGCGTGCGCGCGCGTGTGTGGAGGCGCGCGCGCGCGTGGGCTGCTGTTGCTGCTCCGCTTGTGCAATCGCAGCGCGCGCGTGCGTTCGTGCGCGTGCGTGCGCGTGCGTGCTCGTGAAGAGAGGGAGGGAGGGAGGGGTTGGCGGGGGGGGGTGGGGATAATTGAGAAAGAGGTGAGGGAGAGAGCGGTGGGGAGATGAGCCGAGGAGGAGAGGAGAGGGGGTGGAGGAGAATTGAGAGAAAGAGGTGAGTGGGAGGGAGACTATGAGGAGGAGATGGAGGCGAGGAGAAGGTGAGTGGGGGAGGGGTTAGGAGTGGGGTGAGTGGGAGCGAGGAGGAGGAGGGTGCGACGACTCTGTCTAATTGTATGCGTGCACGCGCGCGCAACCAACTCATTCCGGAGCCAGCCACTCGCTCCATTGAGTCCCAGAGCCACTGGCAGTCCGCACACTACACAGTACACACAGTACACACACAGTACACACACACAGTACACACACACAGTACACACACAGTACACACAGAGTACACACTACACAGTACACACACACAGTACACACACAGTACACACACACAGTACACACACACAGTACACACACACAGTACACACACAGTACACACAGAGTACACACTACACAGTACACACACACAGTACACACACAGTACGTACACAGAGTACACACACAGTACACACACAGTACACACACACACAGTACACACAGTACACACACAGTACACACAGTACACACACAGTACACACAGTGCACACACAGTACACACACAGTCAGTGGTGTGTGTGAGTGGTGTGTGTGAGTGGTGTGTGAGTGGTGTGTGTGAGTGGTCTGTGTGAGTGGTGTGTGTGTGAGTGGTGTGATTGGTGTGTGTGAGTGTGTGGTGTGTGTGGAGTGTGTGAGTGGTGTGTGTGTGTGAGTGGTGTGTGAGTGTGAGTGGTGTGTGTGAGTGAGTGTGAGTGGTGTGAGTGAGTGTGAGTGGAATGTGTGAGTGGTGTGTGTGTGAGTGGTGTGTGAGTGCTGTGTGTGAGTGGTGTGTGTGAGTGCTGTGTGTGTGAGAGTGTGTGTGAGTGGTGTGTGTGAGTGGGGTGTGTGTGTATGTGTGTGAGTGTGTGTGTGCTCTGTGTGAGTGGTGTGTGTGTGCTGTGTGTGAGTGGTGTGTGAGTGGTGTGTGTGAGTGGTGTGTGTGAGTGGTTTGTGTGTGTGTGAGTAGTGTGTATGTGAGTGTGAGTGGTGTGTGTGTGTGCTGTGTGTATGTGAGTGTTGTGTGTGTGTGAGTGCTGTGTGTGAGTGTGTGTGTGAGTGTGTGTGAGTGTTGTGTGTGAGTGTGTGTGTGTGCTGTGTGTGTGAGTGGTGAGTGTGTGAGTGCTGTGTGTGAGTGGTGTGTGTGAGTGGTGTGGGTGTATGTGAGTGGGGTGTGTGTGTGTGTGTATGTGTGTGAGTGTGTGTGCTGCGTGTGAGTGCTGTGTGTGCGTCTCCGGAGTGTTCGCGTCACGGTTAACGCGCTGCGCCACGAACCCGCCTACCCGAGTTCGATTCCCGTTCGCTGCCAACACCAGTGGCAATTATCTGAACCGGTCCTAGGCCTCCCCTAGGTCGACTCAAATGAGTACCTGGGGAGACAAAGGCGGCCGGGAGTGGCGGTGCTGGCCACCTATCCCCGTCGTGTACCGTGCCGGCTTTCATAGGTTCTGCTCGCTAACAGCACTTGCCCCAACAGTCTGTTGAGGCTGCACGGGGGATCCTTGTCTGTGTGCGTGTGCGTGTTTATGTGGGCGAGATAATAAATGTGTGACAGTGGTGTTCGCGTCTTTGTCTGTGCGTGCGCGCGCGCGTGGAGCGGTGGTGCAGCGGTTAGGGCGATGCTTCGGCGCTTCGAAACCCGGCCACCCGACTTCGATTCCCACTCACGGCCAACATATAGTGACGATTATCTGAACCGGTCCTGGAACTCCCCTAGCTATGTCGGCTCAGCCTCAAATTAGTACCTGATGCGGTGCTTTAAAAAGACATCGCCACGAGGGAGACAAAGGCGACCGGGCGTGGTGCTCGCCACTCAACCCCATCGAATGCCTTTGCTTGCCTTCATAGGTGCTCGCTAACAGCACTTGCCCCAACAGTCTGTCACGGCTACACGGGGGATCTTTGTCTTTGTGTCTACACATGCATATGGCGTGAGTATGCACACATATAATTAATTATATATCATCACGCTCCAAGCTCGGAGGGTGGCGTTAACCTGTTTGTGTATGCACAAGTGCGTGTGTGAATGTGTGTGCGCCCGTGTGAGTGTGTATGTGCGTGTGTCTGTGTGTGTGTGCGTGTGAGTGTGTCTCTGTGTGTGTGTGCGTGTGAGTGTGTCTCTGTGTGTGCATGTGAGTGTGCGTGTGTGAATGTGTGTGCGCCCGTGTGAGTGTGTATATGCGTGTGTCTGTGTGTGTGAGTGTGTGTGTCTGTGTGTGTGTGAGAGTGTCTGTGTACGTGAGTGTGAGTGTGCGTGTGAGTGTGTGTGTGTGCATGTGAGTGTGTCTCTGTGTGTTCGTGTGAGTGTGCGTGTGTCTGTGTGTATGTGTGCGTGTGTCTGTGTATGTGCGTGTGTGAATGTGTGAATATGTGTGCGCCCGTGTGAGTGTGTCTGTGTATGTGCGTGTGAGTGTGCGTGTGTCTGTGTCTGTGAATGTGCGTGTCAGTGTGCGTGTGTATGTGCGTGTGAGTGTGCGTGTGTCTGTGTGTGCGTATGAGTGTGTCTGTGTATGTTCGTGTGAGTGTGCGTGTGTCTGTGTGTGTGTGCGTGTGTCTCTGTGTGTGCGTGTGTTTGTGTATGCAAAAGTGTGTGTGTGTGAATGTGTGTGCGCGCGTGAGTGTGTCTGTGTGTGTGCATGTGAGTGAGTGTCTGTGTGCTTGAAGGGGGGAGCGGTGATGTAGCGGTTAGCGCGCTGCGCTACGAACTCGACTTCGCTTCCAGCTCACGACCAACACCAGTGACGATTAACTGAACCGGTCCTGGGGCTCCCCTAGGTCGACTCAGCCTCAAATGAGCACCTGGTGCGGTGTGTAAAAACATCGCCACTGTGGAAGACAAAGGTGGTCTGGCGTGGAGCTTGCCATCCACCTCCTCGTGTACCGTGCCGGCCTTCATCGCTGCTCGCTAAAAGCACTTGCCCCAACAGTCTGTTAAGGCTATACGGGGGATCTTTGTCTTCGTATCAGACGCGGCGGTGCAGTGTTTAGCGCGCTCACAGCGCTTTGAAACCGGCCACCCGAGTTTGATTCCAGGCCACGGCTAACATCAGTGGCTCGTAATATCCGAACACATCCCGGGCAGCCCAACGGTAATCAGAGTGACCACTTCACAATGTGTCTGTACGTGTGTCTCCATGTCCGTATCCATGAGACGCACAGACGTACACACAGACGTACACCACAAAGGTCCGCCCTATAGCCTTAACATTTATCTGTTTAACTTTTCTCTACTTTGTACTGTTGATGGCTCATCGGATTTCTCCGGTATGAATACTGATTCTAACTTTTGCTGTTAGCGAGCAGCACCTATGAAGGCCGGCACGGCACACGAGGGGGTGGGTGGCCAGCACCACGCCCGGCTGCCTTTGTCGCTCCAATGGCGATGTTTGCACATCGCACCAGGTACTCATTTGAGGCTGAGTCGACCTAGGGGAGGCCCGGGACCGGTTCAGATAATCGTCACTGATGTTTGCCGTGAGCGGGAATCGAACCCGTGTCGCCGGGTTCGTAGCGCAGCGCGCTAACCGCTACACCACCGCTCCCCACAAACACACACGGACACACACACAGACACACACGGACACACACACAGACACACACGGACACACACACAGACACACACGGACACACACACAGACACACACGTACACACACACAGACACACACGGACACGCAGTCACGCAAACGAACACGGGCGCACACGACGACTGTTCACACGACGCCCCGGGGTCATCGCGTCCTGTCCAGGCTCGACTCCCGTTCCTGGCGCGCTCACGACCCCGGGGGTCACCGTCTCCAGGGGGGTCGTTCGAGACGATTGGCGACACGCGGGCGCGAACAAAATTGCCAAACGGCACGGCGGTCTCAAATCACCTCCCACCCCCCTCCTCCTCCTCCCTCCTCGCTCCCCGCTCGGCTCGGGGTAGAGGCGCGGGTCGCGCTCGCAGGCCGCGTGCCCCCCCCCACCCCCCCTGCTCGCAGACGAGAGGCCTCCGCTGCGGAGGGAGGCTCCAAGCCGGCGCGTCGGTCCACTACTCTCCCACACTCGCTGGGGCAGATGTTTGTCGTAATTAGCGAGATTTGTCTCCCCTCGCCCGGTGGTGTGCAGGAGGGGTCTCGATCCCCGACCCTGAAGCTTGCTGCTGTATATTTGGAGTTTGCGTGTCTCTCTCATCATCGTTATCATCACGGTGGCTAGGAGATGTTAACTACCTCGCCTGGTGTGCAGGAGGTCGTGGGTTCGAACCGGACCCTGACGCCTGCTGCTGTATATTTGGAGTTTGCGTGTCTCTCTCTCTCATCATCACGGTGACTAGGAGATGTTAACTACCTCGCCTTGTGTGCAGGAGGTCGTGGGTTCGAACCGGACCCTGACGCCTGCTGCTGTATATTTGGAGTTTACGTGTCTCTCACTCTCATCATCACGGTGGCTAGGATATGTTAACTACCTCGCCTGGTGTGCAGGAAGTCGTGGGTTCAAACCGGACCCTGACGCCTGCTGCTCTATATTTGGAGTTTGCGTGTCTCTCTCATCATCACGGTGGCTAGGAGATGTTAACTACCTCGCCTGGTGTACAGGAGGTCGTGGGTTCGAACACGACCCTGACGCCTGCTACTGTATATTTGGAGTTTGCGTGTCTCTCCCATCATCGTCATCATCATGGTGACTAGGAGATGTTAACTACCTCGCCTGGTGTACAGGAGGTCGTGGGTTCGATTCCGACCCTGACGCCTGCTGCTGTATATTTGGAGTTTACGTGTCTCTCACTCTCATCATCACGGTTGCTAGGATATGTTAACTACCTCGCCTGGTGTGCAGGAGGTCGTGGGTTCGAACACGACCCTGACGCCTGCTACTGTATATTTGGAGTTTGCGTGTCTCTCCCATCATCGTCATCATCACGGTGACTAGGAGATGTTAACTACCTCGCCTGGTGTACAGGAGGTCGTGGGTTCGATTCCGACCCTGACGCCTGCTGCTGTATATTTGGA